TAAACGGTAATTGATTCATACATGCTTAAGGATGGTATATATGAAGGTTTAAAGTAGGTATTCTAATATGATTTGATATGCATGTATGTTGATATGTGGATAAATGATCTTAGGGATCAATTAATGAATATTGGTGCGTCTAGTAAAATTGACCTTAGGATGTGGTATCATCATATTGAAATTGAGGATGAAAATATATTCAAAACAACTTTACACCAAGCTATTTAAGTATGAATTTCTATTGTATGAAGTGAATTTTCTAGGTTTTGTAATTTCTAGTGGAGATATAATGTAGATCTATTTATGGTAGAAGTTGTGTTTAAGTAGGAGATACCTAAGTCAATTAGTGAGGTTAAGAGTTTTCTTGCATTAACTTATTAATATAGGAGATTTATTGAGGAAATTTTAAAATAACATTACTTTTGTTTGGATTAATCAAGAAGAGAGAATTGCCTTTATGAAATAGTAAGTGAAGGTAATTTTCAAACTCTTAAGGAAAAATTGATTACTCGACTCTAGTAAGTCTTATGTAATGATGCTTCAAAAATAGGCTTGAGTAGATTGTTGAGGCAAGAAGGAAAGGTAGTAGCTTATATTTCTAGGCATCTAAGTATGAAAAAATTCATGAGAAAAAAAAAATTACCTTACCCATAACCTTGAATTAGAGATTGTAATATTTACACTTAAGATTTTGGAGACATTACTTGTATGATTCTAAGTTTGAGATATTTAGTGATCATAAGAATCTTACATATCTGTTTAATCTAAAGGAGTTGAATATAAGACAGAAGAGATAGTTGGAAACTATTAAGGATTGAGATTTTAATCTTAGTTGTTTGGAAAAAGCCAATGTAGTGGTCGATACTTTGAGTAAGAAACCTCTATATCTTCCCTTATGGTTAAAGGGATGTATCATTTAGCTCACATTAGGAATTTAAGCTTGACGTGTGAAATTACTCCTAGTAGTGTGAAACTAGGTATGACTCGAGTAAAGGATAGACTATTAAAGGAAACTAGAGAAACATAATTAGTTGATTCATTTTGATGGCAAGCCATGGGACCATAAGACAAGGTAGTAAATATGAGGTTGCCTTGAGTATAGATATGAGTTTGCCTTAGAGATTGATTATACGAACCTAGTAAACTTATGCTTAAGTACTTGATCCTTGGAGATGGTCATAAAAATTAAAGTAATATGGTGACAAATGCCTTAAGTAGGATGATCATTCTTTTTTTTTTTTTTTTTTTGAAACGGCCAAAGTTAATTGTTAGTTGTTAGTTGTTAGTTTTTGAAAATGTAAGGGTTGAATTTGATTGAGGAGATTAGAAACTTAAGCTTGATGTGTAAGCTCACCCTTAGGAACATTGAATTGAGTATGCTGAAAGGATTAATAGATTAATAGATGTGATTAGAGGACCCTGGAGTTAAACCCTTTCTTAGTAAGCCAAGTGGAAAAATTGGTAGAGGTATAGATAGCCCTTTACGCTTGAAAGTTCATAGTATTTTGGGATTCAAGGATTAAATCTTTGTGCCTAGTAATCTCGAATTAAGGAAGATGATCTTAGAGGAAGGACATAAAGAGCTACTAAGATGTATCATAGTGGCGCAGCGAAAGCGTGGCTGTCTAAGGTGAAATGAGGAGTAGAGAATTTTTTGTACTCGTGTGTAGTATGCCAGAATTCTAAGGTAGAACACTATAAGTCTTTAAGATTTTTACAACCTTTAGACAGATGGCCCGTTCTGGGCACATAAAACATGTACAAAAATCTCTCCTAGAACGGCACGTTCCAAAACTAAAACGGTCCGTTCTGAGTCAACACTTTGTCCTTTAAAAACACATCCGAAACTGCCAGTTCCCAAAGTGGAACGGCCCGTTCCAGAACTACAAAAATCTAGGACTGTTAATTAATAAATAAATAATTAACATATATATATATATATATATCAAATTAAAATAAAATATCAAAACAAATTAAAATAATTTTCATAAATATTTATTATTAAAAACCTTTAAAACTTCAATCAAACCCATTTAATTAATCAAAATAATTATAAGAAAATAATCTTCATAAACACAAAAATAAATAATAATTATTCATTGTATTAGTAGAAAAATTTGAGTTGTTAAAAAATTATATATATGCATCAGATTTTTTATTTAATATTTTTTCATCTATTTTTTTTAAATCATTTATAGTTAATATTTATTTCTATTTAATTTCTAAAACATTAAATAACTCATTTTAAATAAAAAAAATTGAAACAAAAATATTGAAATTCATCTCATGTATCTCTCACCTTCATCGCGACAAATAAGATATTAAGTCAAATTATTTTACTTCGGCTAATCATTATATAAATAATAATATTTGATTTAAAAATTTTAATATATCATTGGTCCCATCTAATAGCAATGTAGATGTCATTTTCTATTTATTATTTTTAAACGTAAAAAAAATTCCAAAGTTTTAAAAGTTGAATTAAATTAAAGTTAATATTTTATGCTCAAGAAACGTTTGTTTTTATCTAATTTAGTTATGTTTTACAATCAGATATCTACTTGTTAAAAGAAATTATTAGTACAAAAGTTTATAAAAAAAGACCATCTTTAAAATAATAATAATAATAATATGGGTAAATATAGTTAAAAAAAATAGACTTCCGAATATGGTAGAACAGTCCAAGACAAATTGTATGGAAAATAAGATATGGTAAACCCCTGCACTCAAAACCCTCTTTCCATTCAACACTCTCCAAATTCCAAAGCAACAATGGCTCTCTTCCATTGCCATGCTTCTCACCACAGCATGGTCACTCTCTCAGCCTTCAATTCCAAGCCTTTTAGTGCTTCTCTACCTAACCCCTCTTCCTTGACTACTCATCAACACCCTTATCCTCTCACCACAACCACAACCACTCATCTTAACACCAATACCTCCCTTTCACTCTCCACACTTCCCAGAAAATTGCTCTGCAAGCCACCCCAAGGAAAATATGTCAGAGATGACTATCTTGTGGTATGCCACTTCAATTACTTCACTTTTTTTATCATCTTGTTTCTGGGTCTCTGCTACTTTTTCCTCTTATGCCTCCTATGTTACAATTTTTCAATTTTCATGCTTCATCACCGTTTTATCTAGGTTTCAATAATTTTTTAAAATTTATTTTTTATATAATTATTCTATTTTGTACACCCGGTTAAGGCGTAAAAAAGTTAGAAGTTTTCAATGTAATGAAGGGCTTTGTGTTTTTGATAAAATATTTTGTTTTTTTTTGTAATAAAATCTTTTTTTTTTCATACTGAAAATGATTTTTTTTTTGTTTCCTTTTGGCTTCATACGGTATACTACATGTAAGAGTTCTAGAAATGAAGAAAGAACAAAAGTAGTTTTTTTTTTTTTTAGTTCAATTTCTTTTCACTGTTAATGTAAAAGTTTACAAAATAATAGTGATAGCTATAAAATTCAACAAATTTACCATACACTCAGTGTGTAAACTATTTACTCTTTTTTTGTTTTTAATTTTTCAATGAATTAAATGAAGTTTGATGACATAGTGATCCTGTTGTTTGTTATTTGGGATTTGCAGAAGAAGTTGTCAGCTCAGGAAATCCAGGAGCTTGTGAAGGGAGAAAGAAAAGTGCCTCTGATTATTGATTTCTACGCGACTTGGTGTGGACCATGCATCTTAATGGCACAAGAACTTGAAACGGTATGTGGTTTAATTCATGTGGAAAATGCTTAACCATGCAGTGAGGATGTGTTGTTGTGGATGTTTGTTTCAACTTTTAAGTGAGCACAATGTCTTTCTGATGTTTTAATTCAACCTTTACTTATATGATATATCAGCCTCTAAGAAAGATGATAGTGTATAAGATGACCATTACGAGTCTTTAATTGTTTTTCAGATTGTGTTATGAAACAGATTGAATTTGATTCACCAAAAAATAGATTAATTTATGTATAACATTTGACAGAGATTTTCCCTATAACTAAAACAGGAAGCTGGTTTGCAAACTTGGAAATTCAATTAACAAAGTTTGCCTCAAATATTCGCAGAAACTAACAGTTATTGTAGTAATTGGATGCTGATGGAAGGTATAATGGCATGTCATATATGTTAGATTATTATATTTGTATAGATTTCATTCTATGTAATGACAAATTTCATCCAATATGACAATGAATTTGAAATTTTATTCATTTGCCATGCCCCCAAAAATTAGGTGTTTCCCATCTGTTGAACAGCATGTCTGGTTAAGTTGATCATAACAAATTATGATTTATCTATTACAACAGCATTTTTCTCATGTCAGAGTTTTCAGTTGGTTATGTTGGGTGATTGTCGTGATGTTTATCAATTTTCTTTGTGGATGAGGTCATGGTTAGCTGTTGCTTCACTTGCTTGTGTTCCAAATTATATGTAGTTTATTGTTGGTATTGGTAGTTGAAAACAAAAGAGTGAAAGATTTTGATCTTCACTTTTGTAGATGTTATGTGAAAAGTGGTTTTAAGATAATCTATTTCATTTGGATTGTCTAAAATAACCGGTTTTTATAATAAAATTACAAAAAATTGGTATGAAGTTAACTACAAAAAAAAAAAAAAAAAAGCAAGCTAGCTAGCTAGCTACATACGGAGGACGGTCCCACAGCATCTACTAACATCAAGGAATACCCCTGGGTGCTTTGTCAACCATCACCAGATGATCATGTGTCCTTACACCCATCTTGGCTAGGTAATCCATGCAATGGTTCCCCTCCCTACATGTATGGAACAGCTTACAGTCCCAGTCCTGCAACATGTAATCCTTGATGCATATCTTGTTCCCATAGTGATGATTGATAGTTACTCCTGTAAAAGTTGAATTGTATTCTTGGAATCTGAGTAGCAAACCACATGATGAAATCCAGGGTCCCAACAAATCTTCAGGCTGTGGTACAAAGCCTCAACTTTTGCATACAGGATATTTGAAGTCCCCATGCTCTTGCAATTTTTGATGGTGCTTCTTCCCACATTCACCGAAGTTCACCCTTGGCTTTTTCCATGATACTTTCCCACGGAGCAGATAGTGTGGTTGTTTGAATATTATCATCAATGTAAGCTTTTGAAATGTTGCGAGTCCATTCACGAACCTGACAGGCCATCAAGCTCACTGTGACTGTAAACAGAGCAGTCAAATATTGTAGTATTCCTTGAGCACCATGTGACCCATAGGACAATGATGCCATGCTGAGCAGTTTTGTCCAACGCCCATTGCAGCTAATTCATGGATGGATCTGAAGGAGGAACATGCGAGAGGCCAAGTACATGCCAAAGCTGGATCACCCTTGGGCCAAGGAGCAAGCTGTGAAGGATTGTTATAAATAGTAAAACCAACATTTTTTTTCTCTTATCAATCAGATTATAATCTTGAAAATAACTCATCCAAACATGCTTTACAGGGGAGTGTAGACTGATTAAAAATTCATATGCCTGAACTCATGATATTGTATTATATCTCATTTTTATTCTAATGTGATGGAAAATGCTCAAGGATCAGCTGCTTGTGGCTTCTCTATGTTGTTTATGTGGCTACCATATTTTCATTCCATCACAATTAATCTCTTAAGGTTGAAACTTTTTAAGGGAAAAATTACAAAGAAATTATTTGTGGACAAGCAATGTACTTAAGAACACTAAATATTCTGGGGCACTGGGCTACCAGAATTGATATTTTAATAAACCATCTTCATCGGCTTGTGTTTTTCCATGTGTACAGGCAATATAAGGTGTTTTCATGACTTCTAGTTCTTAGCATGTTCTTTAATATTTATTATTGTAGACGGTTGTATTAATACTAGATGCAGAAATTATGGTTGCATGCAAAGCAGCAAAACATGCTCAGATCTGGAGCTTGTGTCATATTATGGATTTATAGATTTTGAGGATGATGTTGATAATATCTTTGTAGATCCAGGCATGTTATTGAATGATATTTGAAGGAGATTGAACCTCTATGGTTTATAACTGGTGATTAAGCATTTGATGTGTCTGAAATTAGGATGCATGAACCTTGGTTGGTTTATTTATGAACTTTAACGGCTTCGTCTTCCATTTTACTGTAGTAATTGTGTTGTATCTTTTATAAATATGCCTCTTCAGAATTCTAATGTCAGCCATTATGAAACTGTTTCTGCATCAAAATATGTTAAAGCTCTTAAAATTTATATCAGGGAAGATCAGAATTAGTTTCGCCTCATCTAATGATGTGTATTCAATAAAAAAAATTAATAGATTTAGGCTTAATTGCATTATTTGCCTTTAAAGTTACACAATCTTGCTATTTTTGCCACCAAATGATTTTTTTATGAATTGTCTCCCAATTTACTGTCACAAATTTTGTTCTCACCTACTTAAACTGTCACAATTAAGACGATATTACGCTAGTTATTCCTTTAAACTGCCAAAAAGTTGTCTTAATTGTGGCGGTTTAACTATGTGAGGGCAAAATTTGTAAGAATGTGTAACTTTGAGGACAAAACGTGCAATTAAGCCATAGATTCGTGCTTATTTATATCTTGTTCTTAACTTTAATATCCTAGACAGTAATAATTACAAGGATGGATGTGCCATCTACCTATTGGACCAATGCATTTATTGAAATTTTAATCTACAAGCAAGAATCACTGTGTAGTTTCATCCAAAATGAATGGGAGAGAGGGGGCAGAGGTAAAGAGCTGGAAGTCTTCATTCATTTGTCATTCAATTGATAGGTGATGTAATTTTGTAAAATGTTCTCCATATATAATAAATAATGTTACAAAGCATCGACTACAACTTTGGAACCAGTTTACATGCAAAGTATTTTTACGTATGTTCTATTGAATTTTAAATGACTGTTAGCTACGATTTGTATGATATTTATTAGCCAAGATTTAATATTTTATTTTACTTCCATCATTAGAAGATATATATTGATGAATTGAAGTCAAGGTACTAATTACATTCTGGTATTCATGTGGTACATTATGTTGGCTGCAATGGTTCATCTTCTTTTTGAATACATACATCTTCTGACTGGTAGAACCAAATCAAGTATCTGGGGATCTTGAATTTGTTCTATAACTGTTTGGTTTACTTTCCCTGAGAACTACCAATCATATTCATACTGACATTTTACTTAAAAAAGCTTTGCATACTTTGTCTTGTTTCCTTAATATTATAAGGATAGCATGTTTTAATTTATTGGCTGGTTCTTAATTCAGCGGTATTTCCTCATTGTATGTCTTGTTGAGTAGTTTATATGAAAGCTCAGAAATAACCACCCGTTTTTAAATCTGTACAGCTTGCAGTTGAGTACGAAAACAATGCAATGATTGTTAAGGTTGATACAGACGATGAGTATGAATTTGCACGGGACATGCAGGTAATGAATGAGCCAATTTTTGTTTACAATGTGTACATATACAAATGCTCGTTAGAGATCCATAAAAAATGTGATTTTTTATTGAAATGGCATGTGAACTTGTGGGATTATCCTCAAAAAACGGGGGGCAAGAAAACATGCAATATATCATGGGTCTAATCAGTGTTCTCATATTATAAATACTAATCCTGTTTGTTTATTCAGGATAATAACCATAATTGGTTAGATCTTGAATACCTGTTTTCTTTGTAGTATAGCTGACAAGAATCATTATTTTATTGGTGGTGTTTCAACTTCATGCCAAGATTAGACCATTAAAGGGACTATTAGCACCATTAAAGGGGACTATTAGCAACAGATCTAGACAAAGTTGATCATTTCGGTTGAAATTTGGATTGTGGCAGTTTCTAAAGAAAAGTTGAATTTGATATATTTCAGGTTCGAGGGTTGCCTACTGTGTTCTTTATTAGCCCTGACCCCAACAAAGATGCTATTCGAACTGAAGGACTTATCCCAATACAGATGATGAGGGACATTATTGACAAGGATATGTGAAACAATAAAGGGTTCTTATCACCTGACGTAGTTTGTGTTCCTGGATCCTGCAATATACTGTCTGGTGTAATGGTAGCCTATCCGGGACAGAATTGAAATGCTAACCGATTCATATGATTTTGGCTCTTGAAGGTTACAAATCTTATGATATTTATGTAAGCTTTGAGCTCGACATACTTTGCAGTGTATCACATGTGATGTCAAATGGAGTTTATAACACAATCATGTACGTGCCCCTCATTCATCAAAATATAAAATGCTTTTGAAATGGACAATCTGTGTGTTAGGTGGTGATTGAGTTGAGCTTACATGATTAAAATTATTATTCTGTCACCTTGCCAAGATGTTTAGGGTGCAATTGAATGTGACAAGTATGGTTCTAATATTCTGGGGTGTCTGGAAAAATTTATTTGCACTTATGAAAGTGGCTTACATTTAATAAATTTTTCAGGTGAGGTATTAAAATAAATTATTTTAACAAATTTATAATTAAATTCTTGTTTGATAATAATTTATTGGTTAAACTATTTACATTACTCTTCTTATAGCTGTTTCTATTTCAAGTTTCAATTTCTATATGAAAACATTAAGCTTTAGTAGTTGCACATATTTAAAAGTTAATTTTGGTCTATATTACTAATATTAAAGAATTTCTGGTGATATAAAACTGCTGCCTGTTACAACAAAACTGTGTAGGATTAAGATATACAGATTTTTCGAATTGAAACTAAAGCTTGAAATAGAGATAATTATAGACACTAAGTGATAATTTAATCTAATTTGTTGAACAATTATTCAATTAAGTTGTGTTAAAAGACAAATTCAATTAATTGGTAGTGGTTAGATTATTTATACTCATGTTGTAAGGAAATCTTTTTAAATAACAAAGAATTTCGTGTTCGATTTTTATTGGTTGTGATAACTTTTGATCCATTGACAATCACAATATCGTAAGTAAAATTAATCTAATCACAATAGTTAGTAAAATTAATCTAATCACAATAGTTTAGGAATGGTCGTGACAGAAATAAAAAAAAATCTTAAAAGACAAGGAAACAAGTGTTACCCCGAAAGGAAATTGACATGTTATTTCGTTCTAGTGTTATTCAATAGTTGTCGGATTTTGTGGATACATGAAGGAAACTTCATTGTACTATAAGTATGGGAGGGTCAAGCAGCCTCCACTGTTGAAAGATCTTGTATTCAAAGCTGGCGAATTGTCCATTGTATTGCAAGTGTAACCGACCACAACCAATGGGGACTCATGCTATGAGATGACTTCACTGTATCCTTCAAAGCATGCAAAAGGGGTATGTATTGGCTGCGGTTGACACAACAATTTTAAGTGGGTTTCATCAATTTCGAAGAAACACTCACAAAGTGATGTCACTCACTCTTCTAGATGAGATTAACCTTGTTACTGTGCTCGGTTAGGCGTTCAACAACAAAGGTTTAGCATCAATAGCATAATATTCTTGTTTCCTTTAATGAGAGAAATATTGAGCCATTATCTATCTAACCATGCTAATAGTTTTTCAGGCTAACTGCATATTATTGTAGATTTTAGAGTTAGATTTGAGATTAACCTTGTGATTTATTTACTTAACAAATAATCACTTCTGTTTTGCTTTCCAAATCTAAATCGACAGCCGAAGTTGTCATAACACTATATGTATGTTTTTGGTTGATTTAAATATGTTTTTATTGTTGGATAAATGACATATGCACAAGTAGAGGAATCTGAAATACCGAAAAAAATGTTAGCAAAATTCTTTACGAGACATGATTTAAATAAAATAATTCATTCTAATTAAAAAAAAATCTGGATCCCACCATCACACGTGCAAGGAGGGCAAATTAGTGGATTTGCATTATAACAAACCAAAGAGACTCATTTTCATGAGTGCAAGTCCTATACCATTTGTTCGCTTTTTTAAAAATATAAGAAACACTTTAATATATAAATATTCAAGATTTACAAAGTCAAAATAATGTGAGATTTCTTTTAAAATATACTCACATGACACACACATATGCAACATTTAATCTATAATATATATATATATATATATATATGAGATTATAATA